TTCTTATGGTAGAAATGCCCTAAAGGGGCTGGAAAACGGTGAAGCGTAGAATAAATGTCATAAAGGGTGAACTTTTTTTTTTAATTCGCTTGTCCGAGGTATCTGATAAAAACACTTGTTCGTTATTAACTAGAAAAAAAAATATCACGTACTTCATAACACCAACAAACTACTGTTACCTTGATGTCTTTTAACAATCTTACAGCTAATTTACACAACCACGAAGCGTGTGTACATTGACAAATGACCCGTGCTCTTATTTCGTCATGCATTCTTCACATTTCTTCCTACAAAGTTATATACATACTTTCTATGCAAAATTGTATAATAAATAACATAACGTACAAACATATATGGAGCATTTTGTCCTTCAAGGGTGTCTTTTCATACCTATCCTTGGAAAAATTAAAACTTTATAAACGCATTCTTTACTTTTCAAGGAATCGTCCATTCTCCTCTTAAACTCTTGTAAAGTGCTGGCTTCCAATTTTGTCAACAGCAATTCATTTCATAAATCAATCATCCTGTTATAAAAATGAAACTTTCTTAACTGGAGCCTAGCTTGTCAAACGTATGTCCTCTTGTCCTATTATGTACAGAATATAAGAACAAAAACAAAAAATCAGAGGTCTTAACCCAGTCGATCCTCCGGATAATCTTGTAAACTTCAATAAGATCATCTATTATCCTTATTTTCTCAAGATAAAATAAATTATGAAATATTAACCACACCCTAAAAGATAATCCTTCCATCCCTCAGAATCAACCTAGCGGCTCTACTATGAACCTTTTCCAGTAAGTCCATTACCTTTCTTAGATAGAAGGACCCAAAGAGTATTCTAAATGGTGTACTCCACTACTAACAAGGGTCCAGTTTGAATGGACTCCAAAAATAACATTTTGTTTTCTTTCATCCAGCTACCCAACAATACAATCAAATAGTCTTTCCCCAACACCTACAAATATGATTTTCTTAGCTAATTTTTTTGCGGCACCTTCATCAAGAGCTTTTTTGAAAATCTAAGTACACTAAATCCACATCATTCATTCGTCTACCATGAAACGAAATTAATTTACTGATATTTTCATTATTGCCAGTGATGTTTATAAACCCCATTGAAAATTAAGTGTTCATCAAACTGTCCTTTAGTTGGTGTGAACTACAAGTTGTTCCTTTCATCCCAGATAGTTTCGTGAGTCTGTAAGTTTATATATTAAGTACATTTTAGATCATAAATAAAAGAAAGAGCGCAAACGTGAAACTTCAGAGTTAGCTTAAATTCGATCATTCTTGTTATCTGAGACGTAATTTTCTAACCAGCGACTAGAACGTGAAACATAAAAGAAACTAGATTTCCTTACTGTTTGTCCCTTGGTTTCCATGTTATTTAATTATGATTTATTATCTCAGTATATACCTAGATTTATCTAAAACCTAATCTGCTCTTTGAAACCCCTGTATAATATCTCATTAACTGGAAATGGTGCAAAACTTAAACGACCCTAAATCTATTCTTTTCTGGATTACTTCACACACCCTCCTTTTCCTTATTTACGTGCAGTCTTTCCACACGCACAAAACGTGTTACTGGTTTAGGTGCCTATATAGAACATTTAAGGATAGTACTTACACACTAACGTACTTGACACACCTGTCTTTTCACTGGATTCTCTACTCACCAACCGTTGAGTTAGACAAGAAAAAAGGAGCTATTCACCTAAATAAAACTTAAATAGTTAGAAAACAGAAAATTCTGTGAAAACGCTATCTTCTCCGAGACAAAAAAGACGATTCAGAAGTAACAGATACTAGCCAACACACAGAAGAAAAAACAAAAACGAATATACCAAACCATACTGCAGAATACACAGTAAAATAAGTGTAATTATTACGGTTTTAAGTCAAGAAACTGAAAAAAACTAATATATCAAACTGCACTTCAAAATACACAAAAAACGATTGTAATTATTATAGTTTTAAGTCAAGAAACGGAAAAATACAAACAAAAACTAATATAAGAAACCATACTGCAAAATACAAAATAAAAAACAGGTGTAATTATTATGGTCTTAAGTTTCTTCTGTTAAAAATATATTTGTGTGCTGATATGAATTGTGGCTCATAGAATGGCTCCGAGTTATTTTGTTTTTTTCAGGTACAAAATTTTAGCTCATAGCTCCGTCATTTCTTAACTGATTTGAGATCTAATTACAGTTTTGGACTCAAGAGGTCAAACCCGTTTCTATTGATGTATTTGATCACGTCAAAGGTCTCATAGATTAATTTACTCTAATCCTGCCTAAAAGAATCTCAAGTGCCGCGGCTATTGAGGATTTTCTCTTGTTTATACTTAAGCAAAATGTTTCTATTGCCTACATGGCATACATATAAGTGAAAGGAACTTTGATTTCTTACCGGTACGTTATTGCTGTTTTTCCTTTCCCCCTCCCGCCCACATTCTATATAAGCCAACACTGTTAATTTATGTAGAACGAAGATACAATATTTGTATATACACATTTTAGTACTAACAACTACAACAGTTAATAAGAAAATAATTAAATAAGTTTGTTTCAGTTTGATTTTAAAGATTTTCTTTGGGTCGAAATGGAATGAAAAAATAGTAACGAAATCACGTGAATGCGTCCTACTTGACTGGGGCTGAGAGGAAAGCCTGAAAAGCAGTAACTTTTACAACAATGTAACTTGACATCCAACAATATCGGTAACTGTACCGTACCGTCTTACTTTCAACCAATGGCAATACTATAGAAAAACAAACTGAACAAGAAATGTTGTCTTGTTTGAACAAGTTATTTATTTGACAGTGATTAGACTTAGTTCTTTCTCCATTTATTACTATTACAGTCATGCAAGTCATTACAGGTTTTTTCTTCCTAATCTCCTGATAGTTTTATTCGCCCAATAATAGAGACGTTATTGAGTTCAAATTAGCCCGTTCATCACAGCATGCATCTTCGCCAACTATTCACAAGACAAATATGGTTACACCCAAAGAAAATTTCATGTTTAGAAGGGATTCATCTCAAGGTGACATTAGAAACATCAACTAAGTACAAGACAAAAGGGTGTTCAAACCACTGTCTCTTATAATGTTTTTCTCCAGTTTAGTGATGTGAGAAAGATTCAAAGTTGATTGTTAATTATAAATAAATTGTTAATTTTATCACAGATGTTAATTTTTAAAGGCAGTGTATCCCACC